CTTGTCACAGTTTCCACACCATGTGTGAGATCTCTGCTGCAGGCAGATGCTTTTCTTCAGGATCTCAGCAAAGTCGTGCTCCTTTATTCTTTCTCCTGAAGTGTCAAAGTACAATGAATATCAGTGTATACATCAAATCAAGCAGATATTTCCCTCTGCTCATTCAAAAACTAAATTAATTCAAACCATTATGTAATCATTAATAGTTCAAATTTCAAAGACAGAGTAATTCACAGTCACAGATATCCATGCTCTCAGTGCTCTCAGACTCACCTTGAGAGTCAGGGTAATGCATGTTGAACAGCAACATGAGGGAGGAGTGGACTGTTTCTATGCCACAGAGACACAGGCTGCGGTTCTCAACTTCAGAACAAAACAGCTCTCTAATGACAGAGTCGCCAGAGGAGCCCAGAGAACTGCAACACAAACACAAATCACAATTTCAGAAACCAGAAGGAAAACTCTGCATTTATAAACAAACATAATGATAAGACTGGGACAGTGTCCAGTAAGAATGCAGGTCAACAACGATGTGTTTTACCTGCTCCTGGTCGTCCTGTAGGCCCGTAGATCCTCCTGCTCCTGTGTCTCCTGGAAGAGCTGGTAGAGGATGAAGTGATTCCATCTCTGGATTAAGCGACCCAGCTCGACTGTTCCTGTCGTCTCCTCACAGTTTGAGAGGATCAGGCCCATCTCTTTGGCTTCAGGGACGTTTCGAAGTGCTCTGAGGAAGTTGCCGGCCTTAAGGAAGAAGACATTAGAGGTTACTTTGGGCAGTCACAACAAAATGAGATTTCAAAGTAAGAGCCTTGCAATCCCCAACAGATTGAAAACAAAGAAAGAAAGAAACTTACCTGACATGGATCTCCTTGTGACAAATCCAACATGTGGAAGAGGAAGCCGAGTTCACAAGCCAAACAAAACTCCTTGTGGCACAAATGATTCTGAACAAGGCAGCGAACTGGCTCCAGGAAGTATAACACCTAAGATGCAAACATAAAAGACCCATGGAACATTTGACAAATTGTCTCATATTAAAAATTAAATGTACACATTGTGAACCTTCAGCTTCTTACCTGGATCATGCAGTTACAGTAGGCGTTGGGAATCTGCGGCTCCAGGCCAGCAAACAACGTCCTGTTGTAATGTTTGAAGTCAAAATCTTCCCGTCCACGTTTAGAGTATTTAATTGTCACCTGAAGCATAACAAACACATCTTCGTCACGTGTTTGGGAAATCAAAGCTTGTAGCAACACTCTAGAAATTGTTACATATCATATTTAACTGTATCTCTATGCAAACCAGGGTGAAACATAGCAAGTCCAACCTTTCTGTACTTTTCGGGAACAGTGTGAAGGAGCGGCTCTTTATCACTCTCTGTTGGAGATTCAGGGATGTGGTTGTAATAACCAGGTGACCCTTCTTTATTTGCAGGGATCTGCAAACAACAAACAGGAAAAAAAACTTAAAATACACCACGTGGAGATGGGTTTAACTTTTTTTGTAAATTTATTACAATATTGTAAAAATTACAGTTTAAAAGAGCAATAGGTTTTTCACATACCTGGTTACAGGGGCAGGCGGAAGGATTTTCCACATAACTGTTGAAGCCAACAGTTTCAATAGTTTGTGGGATTTCTGGGTCCATCCCAGGAGCCCACCTGTTGAAAAGAAACATGTTTTAGATGGAAACCTTTAATGGGAACTACATGAGACTCTAACCATTTATATCAACTGGGGAAGACTCCACATTATCTTACAAACTTTTATTGAATCTGAAAACAATATCTATGAACGCTCTAATGCAAACTCTTCAGTCTCGTTAGTGATTGTGTTACCTTGAGCTGGGTGTAGCCTGGGCAGTGGGGATGGGAGAGCAGGGCTGCAGGTTATGATTCCAGGCCAGCTGAGGCTGTGCATCCACAACGCAGGGCTCTCTGGAGTAGACGTTAAACATAACGTCCCGAGTATCAGACCAGAGACGCACACATCCCCCCGAATCTCCAAAGGCTAAGGCTTGTTTGCTGGATGAGACCTCAAAACTTGTGAGAAAGTGGCCGTTTGTGTTGACATGGAAAATATCCACCATGCTGGCGAGGCCAGTGGGCTCACAGAACTGACACTCACCTGGAAAAAGACACAGAAAGCAGGCAGTTATAGCAAAGCCACAAATCACACAAAGAAATTGTATGTCACATTTATTGGCCAAACATAGTAAGACTATGCTACAGAAAACTGGACTAAAGAATCCTGAAGCCAGCTTCATACCTGTCTGTGAGATGGTTGCGAGCCGTGACGTGTAGGTAGGAAGGAAGCGCACGAAGAAAGGATCCACATGCACCCAAAGGGAGGTTGCAGCTCGCATCATGCGGAGGTCATACACCATCAGGAAACGTTCATTCAGCCCTCGGCTGGAGAACCCACTCACAGCCAAAAGGTTTCCATGAACATCAAAGTCTGACAGGCCGCCAGGAAATGCGTCAAACTTTTGTGTCCTAAATGTGCGCAAGTCTCGAAGGGTCACCTGTTATCAGCAGAGGGTCAGTGTTAGAGAGATATAAACCAAACCTCATCAAACTGATCCAATCAGGTGATACTTACTTTGCCAGAAGGGTGCCCAAAGACGAAGAAACGATTGGTCTGACGCATTATTGTCACTCCAGGTGCCTCCACTGTGAACTGAAAGGACAATCAAGACAGCAGACAGTCAGACACTCGCTGTGAAGTCAGTTGTATGATGTGCCAGTAGTGTAAGCATAGATAGTTGTGGATTTTGATAAGCATAAGCCTGGTGTCTTACTTTTTGAGTTTCTTGAAGTGTGTTCATGTCAATTTCAACCACATAGTTTTGTAATCCCCCCATGAGCAGCATGTTATCAGTCATGAGGATTTACCATTAAAAATGAATGGACTGACGAACTCCACAACAACAAAAAAAGTGCCACAGAAAAAAACTAAAGTGGATGACCCTGAATCATTTGCTTGGTTAAGAAAAACAACGTCACAGCATTTTGCCAAGTGACGCTAATGAGGATGTAGCCGAGCCATTGTTGATGTCTACGAGAGAGACCTTCATGAATGTAAATAAAAATGGTTTACAACAAGGTGCAAACTCATGGCTCCACTCAAAAACAAGGCCAGAATAGATTATACCAGGAAAAAAAGACACTAAAAGAAACTGCAGTTTGGGGGAAAAAAGTGAATAGATGAAACCAACTACGAATGATTAGAAGAGATCTGAAGCATACCATATCATACGTTTGCTGTGGTGGACAGTTTTATGGCATGGCTGGTGATAGAATTGGGCCTACACTGTTTATTGATGATGTGACCGCTGATAGGAGCGGCATGAATTCTCAATTGTTCACGGCTTTACTCTGTTCAGATTCAGTCGAATGCTGCAAAGCTGATCACACTGACCCTGTGAGCAGTGCAAACAGATAATGATCCGAAGCATACTACAAAAGAAACCCAAAAGCTACCAAAGAAGTGTGATGTTTTTAAATGACCAAGTCAGTCACTTCATCTCAACCTAACAAAGGATGCATTTCAGTTATTGAAGACACAAAGTGAACACAGCAAGACTGCGAAACAAGCAGCAGTAAAGACCTGGCAGAGTATCTCGTATAGCGAAACACCATTTGGTGAGGTCTGTGTCTAACAGTAACTTTGTGTACATTTAGATTGATACATAGAAGTGTGTCATATTTGCATAAACTCAAAATTATTAGGGTTATGACAAAATAAAAGAAAATATAAAAAAAGAAAAATGTGAGAATTCAAGGACGACATTAATTCAAGGCACACAAAAAGTATTCATACCCAAAATCTAGTAAAAGTGCGTTTGAAGCCAAAGGCAATAGCCCCACCTGCTGGCACTACGAATCACTACACCCTTATGAGACGCGAGTTCGTCGCCGCCATATTGCAGCGGTGTTTCTTTTCTTTTTTTTTTTTTAAATGACATCAGAAACAGCAGTATGCGACATTACGTGATGG